TCAGTTTGGGTTCAGGCCTAATAAAAATACGAATGATGCTATTATACATGTGTTAGAAAAAATATACACTGCACTCGAGAAAAAAAAAGTCTCATTGGGGATCTTCATTGATTTACAAAAAGCTTTTGATACAGTTGACCATGATTTGCAGCACATAAAATTGTCTCACTAAGGTATAAGAGGGCACTCCCTCAACTACCTAAAGTCATACCTTAGCAACAGAAGCCAATATGTGCACACAAATGGAGCAAACTCCTCCACACAGCCAATTACAGTTGGTGTCCCACAGGGAAGTGTCCTTGGCCCTCTTCTCTTTCTCATTTACATAAACGACCTACCAAATGCATCGCAACTACTCAGACCCACACTATTTGCAGATGACACTACATACCTCTTCTCTCATCCAAGCCCAGTCATGCTAGCCAATACTGTAAATACCGAATTACAGAAAATATCTACCTTGATGATGATTAACAAACTTACTCTCAATATTAACAACACCTACTTCATACAGTTTGGAAACAGAACCACAGATGTCCCTCTTAACATAATGATAAACGGATCACCTATCACAAAGCTCACAGAGGGAAAATTCTTAGGAATCCACCTTGATAATAGACTCAGATTTCAAACACATATACAACACATTTCCAAGAAAATCTCCAAGACCGTAGGCATACTATCGAAGATATGGTACTATGTTGCACAGTCAGCCCTCCTGGCCCTATATCACTCACTCATTTACCCCTATCTCATCAATGGAATTTGTGCATGGGGCTCAATAACAATAAACCATCTCAGACCATTAATTACCCAACAAAAGGCTGCAGTCAGAATGATAACAAATTAAATTACTTTTGTTTTTCTTTTTGGGCCACCCTGCCTCGGTGGGATGTTCCTCGTGTCCATCTCGCACTATGTGAAAACGCAGTGCACATAAAAGGCCCAAAAATCTGGAATTCATTACCTGTGAATATAAAAGAAACACTGTCTGTTTATCAATTCAAGACTCTTCTTAAAAACCACTTACTCACCCACAACCAATTAAATACTGATGAACTGCATCTCATAGATGTATAACCTGTGACCCTAACTAGTCATAAGTTTGCCTGTGATACTTCAATAATTAGTATTTTATAACATGTAAACCACACAATATCCAAAAACTGTAAACTCCGCATTGTAATCTTTATAGAGAATAAACTTGATTGACTGATTGATTGATCAAACTGTTTTTTTGTAATTACATTACCTAATAGAATACTCCATTCACTTGAATGCTCAGAAACTCATCAAATATGCTACAAATTTGTACAACTATAAAGCCTCTTACTTGAAATACTCATTTGTACTCCATGTTGTAATTTGTTTACTGTATTTTTACCACTGAATATCATTGCTTAGTTATTCTTAAGTTAATTTTAAGCCTGCCCACAATGCTTCGCAATGCCCACAATGCACAGTAACTCATCAAATGATCATGTGATCTGTCTTTGAATTACTCATTTGTGCTTAATTGTTTTTGCTTACTGTAATTTTTACCACTGAATATATCATTGCTTAGTTAATCTCAAGTTAATTTTAAGCCTGCCCATAATGCTTGCATAAGGCTTTTGCAGGCCTTAACCATTGTATTTCTTTGTACATCTATGTATCATGTCCAAATTAAAAATAAATAAATAAATATGTTAAACAACCATGGTGACATTACACGTCCCAGTCTAGGGTCTACTTTTACTAGGAGGCAATTTCCCTCAATCCTACACACCCTAACCTGAGCCTCACTATCCTCATCAAAACTCTTTACAGCATTAACACAACAACCAAATTCTGTAAATTCAACATTGTAATCTTTATAGAGAAAAAACTTTGAATTTGATAAGATTTTGTTCGGATTTTTAACCCCGGAGGGCTAGCCACCCAGGATAACCCAAGAAAGTCTAACTTATTTCCATTGGGGTCTTCAATCTTGTCCCCCCTGGATGAGACCCACACCAGTCGACTAACACCCAGGTACCTATTTGCTGCTAGGTGAACAGGACAACAGGTGTAAGGAAACGTGTCGAAATGTTTCCACCCACTGGGAATCGAACCCGGACCCTCCGTGTGTGAAGCGGGAGCTTTAGCCACCAGGCTACCATGCCTGGTGGCTATTTCATACACTTTAACATCTCCCACATTGCTCCCCTATCCACCTTATCATATACCTTTTTTAAATCCATAAATGCAATGAAAATTTCCTTACCCTTATCTAAATACTGTTCACTAATATGCTTCAATGTAAACATTTAATCTACACATCCCCTATTCATTCTAAATTATTATTACGTATTATAATCAAAAAGAAATGCTAAACCTATTCATTCTAAAGCCTCCTTGTTCACCTGCAATCCTGTTCTCTGTCTTACATCTAATTCTATCACTAATAACCCTACCATACACTTTACCTGGTATACTCAGTAAACTTTTTTTTTTTCCAACAAACCGGCCATATCCCACCGAGGCAGGGTGGCACAAAAAGAAAAACAAAAGTTTCTCTTTTTATATTTAATAATTTATACAGGAGAAGGGGTTACTAGCCCCTTGCTCCTGGCATTTTAGTCGCCTCTTACAACACGTATGGCTTACGGAGGAAGAATACTGTTCCACTTCCCCATGGAGATAAGAGGAAATAAACAAGAACAAGAACTAGAAAGAATATAGAACAAAACCCGAGGGGTGTGTATATATATGTTTGTACATGTATGTGTAGTGTGACCTAAGTGTAAGTAGAAGTAACAAGACATACCTGAAATCTTGCATGTGTAAGAGACAGAAACAAAAAGACACCAGCAATCCTACCATCATGTAAAACAATTACAGGTTTCCGTTTCACACTCACTTGGCAGGACGGCAGTACCTCCCTGGGTGGTTTTATACATTTATTGAACAAAAATACCAACCACTCCAAAACTATATCCTCACCTGCTTTTAACATTTCTGTCATGATCCCAACAGTTTCAGCTGCTTTACCCCCTTTCATTCTACATAATGCCTCATGCACCTCCCCTACACTCACATCCAGCTCTTCTTCACTCCTAAAAGATGTTATACCTCCCTGGCCAATGCATGAAATTATAGCCTCCCTCTCTTAATCAACATTTAAAAGTTCCTCAAAATACTTCCACCATCTTCCCAATACCTCCAACTCCCCATCTATCTTCCCTATTCTGTTTTTAACAGACAAATCCACTTGTTCCCAAGGATTCCTTAACTTATTTCTCTCACTCCAAATTTTTTTCTTATTCTCAGCAAAATTTGTTGACAGCGCCTCACCCACTCCATCATTTGCTCTCCTTTTGCACTCCATTACCACTCTCTTCACCTTTCTTTTACTCTCCACATACTCCACCCTTCTTATATCAGTTCTTCTCTATAAAAAACTCTCAAACTTCTCCCTTATCACACCCTTTACCTCATCATTCCACCAATCACTTCTCTTTCCTCCTGCACCCACCCTCGTACAGCCACAAACTTCTGCCCCACATAATAACAATGCATTTTTAAAACTATCCCACCCCTCTTCAATCCCCACACTATCTATACTCTCACTAGCCCACCTTTCTCCCAATAGCTGCTTATATCTCACCCTAACTTCCTCCTCCCTTAAACAAACAAACAAACAAACAAAATTTATTTCTTTGCAAGATTACACTGAGATTATGAAATTACAATAATGAGTTGCAGTTCAAAGAGAGCCACTATCATGTCTAGGCATTATCGGCAGATTTAATATAATGGCTTACAGACTACTTAATACTAAAGAAATTGATCATAGTTTGTTTAAGTTGTACATCTTTTTTTTTATTGATAGTAGACAGTAATTTTACTCTAATTACAATAGTTTCAATAATAAATATTAAAATTATATTATGGGAATATAACATTGTGAGTTGTTGAAAGTAGTTTACAGTATGAGAATGCTACAACTGGGTGTAAGGCAGTATTGTTTTGGGTAGGTATTTATACTACAATGTAGTATTAATAATGAATGAACTTTGGGCATCTAGACTTAAAGTTTTAAGATTTAGGTAATTGGGAGATTTTTTGGTAAAGATAAATATTGAGTTATAGGTAGTAGGTTGGTAGATAGCAACCGCCCAGGGAGGTACTACCGTCCTGCCAAGCGAGTGTAAAATGGAAACCTGTAATTGTTTTACATGATGGTAGGATTGCTGGTGTCTTTTTCCTGTCTCATAAACATGCAAGATTTCAGGTACGTCTTGCTACTTCTACTTACACTTAGGTCACACTACACATACATGTACAAGCACATATATACACACCCCTCTGAGTTTTCTTCTATTTTCTTTCTAGTTCTTATTCTTGTTTATTTCCTCTTAACTCCATGGGGAAGTGGAACAGAATTCTTCCTTCGTAAGCCATGCGTGTTGTAAGAGGCAACCAAAATGCCGGGAGCAAGGGGCTAGTAACCTCTTCTCCTGTATATATTACTAAATGTAAAAGGAGAAACTTTCGTTTTTCCTTTTGGGCCACCCCGCCTCGGTGGGATACGGCCGGTGTGTTGAAAGAAAGAAAGAAGGATTGCTGGTGTCTTTTTCCTGTCTCATAAACATGCAAGATTTCAGGTACGTCTTGCTACTTGTACTTACACTTAGGTCACACTACACATACATGTACAAGCATATATATACACACCCCTCTGAGTTTTCTTCTATTCTGTTTCTAGTTCTTGTTCTTGTTTATTTCCTCTTAACTCCATGGGGAAGTGGAACAGAATTCTTCTTTCATAAGCCATGCGTGTTGTAAGAGGCGACCAAAATGCCGGGAGCAAGGGGCTAGTAACCCCTTCTCCTGTATAAATTACTAAATTTAAAGAGAAACTTTTGTTTTTCTTTTTGGGCCACCCTGCCTCGGTGGGATACGGCCGGTGTGTTGAAAGAAAGAAAGATGAATCTTTTTTCTATCATATATGTTAGTCTGGGTGAAGAATGAGTAGGTAACATAGCCAGAGTTTATTAAGACATTGTCAGTTACATGTCTATGGTATACAGAGCAATACTAGACTGATTGCCCAGGGGTCACCAGGCACTCAGCCAAGCTACTGTACCATACAAATCTCAAAAATTTTAAACATTTACTCTTAGATAATTAGAAAAACATTTTTTCTCATCACTTATGCCCACTGAGTAGGAACATGACTGTGATGCAAAATTAAAGTCTGTAAATTAACTTTTTTTAGCAATCAGTAGCAGGTGGATCTGCCATGAGGACAACACTCTCAACAATTTGTTCATTACTAAGACCATGACATTCAAGCGTTTGTGTTGTGGCTGTAGTCACTGAGACATTAGTAGAGGTAGATTCATACAAACATACTTGTTCAACCAATGCTGAACAAGAACCAAGGGTCAAATCTTTACCAGCATCATCATTCACAAGCTCACGATGACTTTGAGGAAACTGCTCATCAGGGCATCTTACCACGTTTGCATTGCAATTTTCATTAGCTTTTAAATTGTAAACATGTGTTGCACCGCCAACACATGACACTGGAGCAGGCCGAAGTAGTACATTTGATGGTAATTTGCACACTTCAGAATTTAATGAGTTATTTTCAACTGGATAAAGGTCAGAACTACAGATATCTTGTGCAGATCCTAATGGTATAGTTTCAGATTGATTGGGTGCTAGACAATTACCAGTCAGAGACTGATTAGAAGGAAGACAAATATTTGATATCTTGTGAGGCATGAAAACCGTAGAATGACCGTTAATTCCTGAAACTGACGCAGAATCTGATTGTACGCATTTATCAGAAGCAATTCTGCGAGTTTCAGACTCTACATTAAGTCTTGCCTCCATTCTTTCTTTTACTATACTATGCTCTGGATGCATTACACTATCCTGGCTGGTAATGGACTCATTATCTGCCTCTATGTTGGTTTTAGCTATGATTTCCAGTTTTGGCTCTGTCCCACATTCAGGGTCAAGATTTGGATCTACATCATTAGGGTTTGGTTCCTCTTTCTGATATCTATGCAAATTTTCACCATGGAATGCTTCTTTCTCTGTAGCAAAATCAGTAGGATCATCTTGCTGTTTGACATCAGGTGAGAGGTCAGATTGTAACAGTGTGTGAGACAGCAGGTGGGCTTTCAGGTCATCAGTTGAAAGGCATTGGGTGCCACAATACTGGCACTTTACAGCACCTCTGGGCATGTGACTGCGTTCATGTCGGGCTAAATTTACTTTCTGATGAAATTTCTGTGAAAAAATATGAAAATAAATTAAACATATAAAAGAATAAAATGATACACACAAAAAAATAATTTTGGTTATCTTTATTCACCTTCCTAAATAAATATGCCATGCCTACAATTTAGTACACTACAAATATATATATTTTTTTAATTTTTTAAAAACCCTAATGGAAAATAAATGAATGAATATTAAGACTCAGAAAGGCTACTAATCTACTGTGTACCTGTGGAAATATCAGATATTCATGTAGTGTTCAACCTTTGTATGTGCATAAGTGTTGCAAGCAATGAGATGGAAACTTAAAAACTGACAAAGTGACAGAGGGAAAGAGGAGGGAATATGTATTTAAAACAGTGGTGTGTTATGACAGAGAGCAAATTTTCTTAGTGAGAAAATGAATCCGAAAGCTTTGTATAACATATTTTGTTTGTTTTGTAAATTTAATGTTAGGCATGGAATAAAAAAAATTGCTGTTTGTGGTAGAAAAACTCACCAAGTAAGTGTTTACTGAATATAAACGTCAAAAAAAGGAAAAAAAAAAAAATTGTCTTTACAAATAAATGAATTTTTGGAAAGCAGACTATTTGTTTTGGTGTACAGTACTTCAAAAAGCAAAATAGCCAGAGTGAAATACAGAAAAGTAATAATGATAATACAGTGCAAGTAATCCCACCTCAACACAAGACCTGAGGATAAAGATAAAACAAAAACTGAAGAATAGGACACAAGTGCAACACCTGGGTATTTTTATTCTGTCCTCTGTACCAAGATTCCATGGTGTTGCTGTGTACTGAACTGATAAAGCTACCAAATGGAGAAACATCTGAATAAAGATACCCAGGTGTTGTGCATATGTCTTATTCATTAACTTGTTGATACTGTATACCATTACTGCTACCAAAAGTTTTTCTAAAGATCACTAACCTTATTACAATATTTGCAGGCAAATCTTTTGATTCCAAGATGAAGTAGCATGTGTACCTCCAGAGACTTGCGTGTTTTGAATAGCTTTTTGCAAGTAGGACATGGAAAAGATGCAGGACTGTGTACTGCCTGGTGCTCACGCAGCAAATCCTTCCGATGAAACTGTTTGCCACATATCTCACAGTTTAATTCTCGGGCAGCAGAACCACCTAAGGTCATACAAAAGTGCAATGGTTAATCTTATAATACTACAATAACTTTTAACCCTTTCAGGGTCCGTCCTGTACATCTATGACTTTGAAGCCAAGGTCCGAGCCATAGATCTACGCCAAAATTCTAGCGGCTTCAAATTTAGAGTGAGAAGGCTGGTAGGCCTACATCTAAGAGAATGGGTCTGCTTGGTCAGTGTGCATTGTAAAAAAAAAATCGGGGCACCCGCATTGCATTGTGGGAACGCCATCTCAGTACGCTTTGTTTATCATGCCTAGTGGCAATGAAGCTCTCACTCCCTGGCAAATTCTGACTCTCCTCTACCCAAGTTATAGTTCTAACACTGATGGAAGTGGATCTGAGGAGGAATTCTATGGTTTTGAACCATATGGTACAGTATACCATATGGTACATTGTACCATGTGGTACAATGTACCATATGGAAATAAGTCACTTTGTCTGACTTTTTTGGACTATCCTAGGTTCTCCACACATATGCAGCTATGTATGATAATGTGTGCAACTGTATTTGTGTATACCTGAATAAACTTACTTATGACACCACATGCGCTGAAGTTTATTCAGGTATGCACAAATACAGTTACACAGATTATCATACATAGCAGCATATGTGTAAAGATCCTAGTGACTTATTTCCATTGGGGTTCCTGTATCTGTACCATATGGTACAATGTACCATATGGTACCCTATACCATATGCAATTCCAAGGGGACTGAGTACATCCTGTGGCCCTACACCTGGAATAGACAGTGAAAGTAATGATGATGTGGTTACAATTAAGATGGATAGACCACATGCATCAGTAGTAGTTGGTGGTGCCATGATGATGGAGCATGCGAGCATACAGCATGCTGCACCAGCCCAGGCTGGAAGTGAGTCTGGGACCCAAGCTGCTGAGTGACGGTGACAAAGCGCATTGTCATCCACCGTGGAAAGAGACGACTGTGGCTGAAATGTATTTTTTTTTTTTGCAACAATAATGCTTATACCTCATGTCCATAAGCATAATATAAAATCATACTGGTTCACAGATGAGTAAAACACCACTGTGCATGACACCTTGTTTCAAGGACTTTCACAGACTTCAGGAGTTCTAGGAACATGTCCAGTGACTGTACATATGTAAATATATAATAGAACATTACTGATATACAACATTTTTGCATGTTTTTTGTTGTAAACAATTATTGTAAACAAAATGATGAAAATATTAGTGCAGTTATTGTGCTGAATACAGAGTGTACATATATACATTATGCATTATACTGGTCTCACAGGCCACAAACACAAAATTAGAAAAGAAAAGAAAAGAAAAAAGGAACAAAACAGTAAAATAAAAAAAATGCGACTTTATGGTAGTCACGGATGTTGCTGCCACCTGGTTGCTGAGGGTCAACTTCAAGCCTCTATATCTTGGAAAGTACTGATTGAATTTTTTTGTTTTGTTTTATTACCTACCGCCATAGAGCAGAAATTGCCGTAAAGTGGAACACCCTTTTTTCCCACTTAGAAATGCATATAAATTCTAGATAACAGGTTTAAGCTAATATATATTAAGTTAGCAACAGTACTAGGCATTAAAAACACAATAAAAAGTAAAATACACACACACAGTACACTTGTTACTTACCTTAAAATATTAACATGAATGTGTGAAATGGGAGGGGCAGTGTAAAGTTTTTCCATGTCAGCAATAAGTCACTTTGACTTTTTTTGGGGTTATCCTAGGTTCTCTACATATTGTTTTTTTCAACACACTGGCCGCATCCCACCGAGGCAGGGTGGCCCAAAAGGAAAAACAAAAGTTTCTCCTTTTACATTTAGTAATATATACAGGAGAAAGGGTTACTAGCCCCTTGCTCCTGGCATTTTAGTCGCCTCTTACGACACGCATGGCTTATGGAGGAAGAATTCTGCTCCACTCCCTCATGGAGATAAGAGGAAATAAATAAAAACAAGAACTAGTAAGAAAATAGAAGAAAACCCAGTGGGGTGTGTATATATATGCTTGTACATGCATGTGTAGTGTGACCTATATGTAACTGTATTTGATGGCTATCTCAGCCATCGACATACCTTGTTAGTAAGTTTATTCAGGTACTATACACAAATATAGATACATAGATACACAAATAACCTCTCTTCTTTGTGCGGGTTATTTGTGTATCGCAGTAATGGTATTATTTACAGATACATAGATTATTATACATAGCAGCATATGTGTAAAGAACCTACGATAACCCAAAAAAGTCTGTTCACTAAGTTCAATCATTTCTAACTTGGCACTTAACCCTTTCAGGGTTTCCGATGTACTAGTACGGCTTACGCACCAGGGTTATTGACATACTAGCACGCCTAATTTCTAGCGCCTTCAAATCTAGTGAGACAAAGCTGGTAGGCCTACATATGAAAGAATGGGTCTATGTGATCAGTGTGTGCAGTATAAAAAAAAATCATGCAGCACACAGTGCGTAATGAGAAAAAAAAAAAACTTTGACCGATTTTTTGGATTAAAACAGCGACTTTGCACTGTATTTTCGTATGGTATTTGTTGTTGTATGCAAGTTTTCCTGGTCTCATTTTATAGAATGGAAGGCATATTACAGAAATTGAGATGATTTTGATTGGTTTCACAATAAAAAGTACCTTGAAATTGAGCTCAAATTAGCAGAAATGTTCGATTTTTACTAAAGTTCAAAAGTAAACAAATCATGCCAAGTGTCTAATATTCTTTCACAAGTGCTCTGATATTATTTATACCATTTCTACACTAATGCAGTAGTCTGCATAACAGTAAATCTTTTATTTTTTTGCGAGAATATAAATTCAAAGTGGAAAGCACAAGAAATGTAAGAGGGGCCTGAGGATGTGACTAACAAACAGAAAACTTGTTATTTAAGTGCCAGGAATGTCTGTCTTGTTTATTCTGGACCCTATTTCGAAATTGGCATCTTCTGAAATTTGTGCAAAATTGGCAAAATTGCCAATTTCTAACCATTTTATTGGACAGTTGAAATTGGTAAATGGGTGGTTTCTTGTACTCATTCGATAGAAAAAATGGAGTTCTAGCAAAATAAATATGATTTTTGTCAACTAGTACAAAGGAATTGACCGAAAATAGGGCTCAAAGTGGGCGAAATCGCCGATGCATAAACATCGTCGAGACCGCTAACTTTGCAAGAGCATAATTCCGTAAGTTCTCCATCAAATTTCATACTTTTGTGTCATTATGATTGGGAAAAGATTCTCTATCATTTCAAAAGAAAAAATAATTTTTTTTTCCCGAAAAATTTTCAACCCTGAGAACGAGTTTAGGAGAGGGCCTCTCGACCTTGAAAGGGTTAAAGTAAGAGGCTTATGACTCTTCTCTTTATCACAACCAAGCTTAAACGCCATCGTCAATGACAGCCAACTAGTTAACGAAATAGTAAACAAGAGAGAACAAGATACACAAAGTTCAGACAATGTAAAAGCACAAACTGAACAGGTGGTGAGCGATCACTTGCCCATCATGCATTTGCTCTAGGGCGCGGGCGATCACTCGCCCGCGCCCTAGAGTGATAAAATGCATATACAGTATACTCATTACTTACCTTAAAATATTTGTAGTCTTAATGTAGAGTGAGAGATGAGTAAACGATATAAAAACGAATAAACGACAAAGAGAAAGAGAGAGAGAGAGAGAGAGAGAAGCTGATATCCTTGGGGTGAAATCTGACTCGAAACTGACCATTAAGTACCACGTTGTAAATCTTGCAAACAAGGTAGACAGGCAGCTTACAGCACTTTGCTGTATCTTGCATCTGCTTGACAGTAGGGGTTGCAAGATTCTGTACGAGGCACAAGTACGCTCACACCTTGAGTATGCTCCACTTTCTTGGTTTGCCTGCCCCCCTCTCATCTGCAACTGCTTAACAGAATAGTGAACAAAGCAAGAGCCTGGACCAATCCTGGATAGATCTGTCATTTCAGCAGAGCCTTCAACACAGGAGGGATGTGGGTGGCCTTACTGTTATGTACAAGGCCAACATTGTCAAAGTACCACATTTGGATCCACTTCGAGGACAGCATGAAGCAAGCTTCTATACCACAAGACGGGCAGAAAGCAGCAACTTCACTCTGGCTGTACCCTTCTCCAGAACATCACTTCATCTGAGATCATTTATCCCCAGGATGAGTTGATTCTGGAACACATTCGTACAGCATTATGATGTCAACGAGATAAAGTTAGTTGATCAAATGAAAATGCTGGCCCACAGATGACTCCAACTTCATCCTATTCCCTACTTGTATGTCTCATCACAATAAAAATGCTTTCAAATGAGCTGTTGTAGGTAACAGCTCTTAGCTTGTCAATAAAGTTAAGAATCCTTAACCTGTAAATAGCTTGTCAATAAAGCTAGGGATCCTTAACCTAACCTTGTCAAACCCTGTGTAAAAAAAAACAAAAAAGAGAGAGACAGAGAGACAGAGACAGAGAGAGAGAGAGACAGAGAGAGAGAGTGAGTGTGTACTCACCTATTTGCGGTTGCAGGGCTTGAGTCATAGCTCCTGGCCCCGCCTCTTCGCTGATTGCTACTAGGTCCTCTCTCTCCCTGCCCCATGAGCTTTATCATACCTCGCCTTAAAACTATGTATGGTTCCCGCCTCCACTACGTCACTTTCTAGGCTATTCCATGGCCTGACTACTCTATGATTGAAGAAATACTTCCTAACATCCGTTTGATTCATCTTAGTCTTCAACTTCCAATTGTGACCTCTTGTGTCTGTGTCCCTTCTCTGGAACATCCCGTCTTTGTCCACCTTGTCTATTCCGCGCAGTATTTTATATGTCGTTATCATGTCTCCCCTGACCCTCCTGTCCTCCAGTGTCATCAGGCCGATTTCCCTCAACCTTTCTTCGTAGGACAATCCCCGTAGCTCTGGGACTAGTCTTGTTGCAAACCTTTGCACTTTCTCTAATTTCTTGACGTGCTT